GGATTTAGCCAATCAAAACCGAGCTGTTTGTTAAAAAAAAAGTTTGAAGAAAGAACAATTAATCTTACTAAGTCTAGATCACGTGATACATGGCATTTTGACACTGACCATTATCTTGATTTCTGACATGATACTACAGTAAGGATAATCCTCTAACAATAAGTTAATTAGGGACACTTATCTCATATTGATTTTAGCACTAGGTATAAAAGATAAAAGGAAACCCTAGAGAAAAATACAAACAACTCATCACCTTTATACAAATTACTTCTATGGTGTTCCTTACAGACATATGCGACTATATATATATATATATATATATATATATATATGAGGGATTAAACAATTTGCTCTGCTTTGACATGTGCTTTTTACGTTACAAAATTGCCTAGTTTTCTCTTTTGGACAAAGACATTCCTTCTTTTCGTCCAAGACTCAAAAATAAAATTGTAACAGAAACATTTATATGCCTCTGCTGGGGATTGAACCCGGGGCCTCTGGCTTGCCAGTCCAGTGCTCTACCAATTGAGCTAAAGGGTTAACCCACTAGCCCAAGCTAGTAGGAAGCCATGTATCTGACACTACCACATTGTCCCCCTCCAGAGAATGAGATGTCCTCATCTCTTTTGGAGTGCCGACGCCTGTGGGGCGAAGTTCTGGGGGCAATCACTTTCACCCGCCAGAGAACACCCGGGTCCCCACGTTGGGCGCCAAATTTGTAGCGGAGCAGCAATCAATACAAGATGGTTTTGAAATCAGTGTGATGTTTATTACATGGATTATAACTTAAGTACCAGATTCTGCAAAACAATATAAAATACATTAACTATATTTGATATCACACATAACAGCAGAATCTATTGTTATCATAAAATCAAATAATTACTACATATTAATTAGATCATAAAATAATATTGACACAGGTCAATGAGTTATATCTCTTGACAAATGATATTTCTCTTTATATATTCACTTCATATAGTGGATAAATATTTACAATATACATGTACATATAGCTACATACCAAACTATGGGTATGAATCCATCTCTATTTCTAATACAGTGTATATGTATTGCTATGGATTTAATATCTACAATTCATAAATAACATTTATACACTATATATTCTTTTGTGTCATAAAATACATTTCATTACAAAGTTTAAAATCAACTAGTTCATCAGCTTTGACAAACTTAAATAATTTAATAAATTCTCTCTTATGCCACTTTTCATATCTAGTATGGTAAAGAACTTGTTATTAGAGAGAGCTTCTAAGATCTCATCAGTCCTTGGTAAGGCATAAGAATCCTTTTTAGTTCTGTTATTTAATTCTCTGTAGTCGATGCACATTCTTAAAGACTTGTCTTTCTTTCTGCAAAGTACTACATTACTTGACCAAGGTGATTTAGATTTTCTAATAAGTCCTGCATCTATCAGACTTTGGAGATGGTTCTTAACTTCCATGTACATATTCGGTGGAATTTTCCTGGATTTTTGTTTGAAAGGTGTTTCATCAATCAATTCTATCTTATGCTGAACTAGTGTGGTATGTCCGATGTCTGTGTCTGATGATGAAAATACATCTTGATACTTCTGGAGAAGATCAGTTAGGACTTGTCTCTCAGATGTTGTTGAACTCTCATCTATGTGAAGTAATTTCAGGTTGTTGTTGGAGTTGTCTCCCTTAGAATGTGTGATATCCTCTATGTTAACAGGATGTAGTTCACACAATATGGCCTTTGGAGAAATGGTAACAGTTCTTGTTGTAATATTGTCAATTTGGACAGGAATAAGTCTATCACATGGGTACTGGTAGTTCACAACAGATGGTACGATGTCTAAGTCCACAGGAATTCTAGACCTTGGTGTTGCTTGTAAAAGTGCACAAGTCGCATGATAAGGAACTGCTTTGTCAACATAACCTTGTAATGTGACAGAAGAGTTTGGTCTAATAGTGATGCGGTTCTGATGTACTGACTTAACAACACCAAGTCTGTTATTGTTCCTCTGTAATTCCTTTTCTCTGAGTAGCAAGGATCTCAAAGTCAGGTACCATGGTGTATGTAACTTTGGTTCTTGCAAACATCTACTACCAAATTTATCTTGCAGATTGTTCAATAAATGCTGCAGAATGTTTGTGCCAAGAAGAACTGGTACTTCCTTATTGTATGTATTCTCTGGGACAACAAGGAGTAAACATGGGCATGGCTCTTCAAGAGAAGGTATGCCAAGGGAAGTAATGCTCCCTTCTATGTATCCTGAATAAGGTAAACTTTGACCATCTGCACACTCCACATTAAGTATATTGGTAACTGGATGTAATGTAAGATGGTTTAAGTTATTGCGATAGAAAGATTCGCTTATAGTGGACACAGTAGACCCAGTATCTAGGAGAGCTTTACATGCAGTATCTTCCACGTTGATATTTACTTCTATTGCGTCTCCTATTAAAGTTAATGATTTATTGATAGGGCGACTCAAATGATGCAGGCCTAGCGTCTGCCCCCTAACACAGGCCTGTTCTTGTTTAAATCAGTTAGGTTTTTTCTGCTTAGATTGACTCGACATCCATATGCTAAATGTCCGGATTGCCCACACCTGCGGCATATAGGCTCATCATTGCTATAAGATGATTGTCTGCCCATACCTCTCATCCTGTTTGATTGAGTGAGTGGTCTTGCTCTCGATCTTCCTCTGCTGTACCAAGTAGATGGTTGTGGGTCAATCCTCCTTTGCGTAAATTGATTTGTCTGCTCTTGTTGTTGATATTTCTGAGTCTCGAGTGAGTCAACCTTGGTAGATAATTTCTGGATCATAGCTTTCAGTTCTGAAATCTCATTTGAAGATGTTGAGTCTGTTGATTTTACTACGACGTTCATATTTGTTTTCTTCTTATCTTTAGGGTGTTCTTTCTCAATAAGTCTTATTTCCTTTCTCAATTCATCAAATGTATCACATTTATCATATAGATATCCCGATATATCTTTGAAATCTTGTCGTAATCCTGACCAGAATTTGGTCTTCAACATTTCATCGACATCTTGGTGGTGAACTTTACCTTTGTCAACTGCTCTACTTAAAAGCTCTTCAAGACGGCATCCCCATGTCGTGGTGTTTTCATCAGGTTTCTGAGTAGCACTGTAGAACTGAGTTAATAATGATTCACCTTTTTCTACAGTTCCATGGATGCTTTCCATTTTTTCTAAGACTTGGCTTAGTGTCGCATCTGGACCTAATCTCATGGGTATCTGGCTAGCTTGACCTCTCAATGATCTTCTAATAGCCTGTAGAATCACATTCTCAGTATATCCTTCCCGTGAAAGACATTCAACCTCATACTTCCATACTTCATATGGCACATCACTTGATCTGCTAGGATCTCCTGAAAATGTTGATAGCTTTGGGATGTAAGTAGAGATTGATGACTGAAATAATGGTGGTTTAAGGTCCTTACTCTTTGGAGTAAATATGGGTGCCGAAAAGAAAGGAGGTGGACTAGGTATCTCTTTCTTGACAGTCTTATGCTGTTCAACAAATGTATTGAAAGCTTCATTTGTGAAGACTTTGTAATCATGATCTTGAAGATACTTTATAATTTTCTCTTTTTCTTCCGTTGTTAACTCTTTTGTTGTCTCTGGAAGATTTTCTTCAAATTCTACTTCTTGAATTTCATCACTTGTTTCTTTGCCAGCCATTTTGAAAATTCAGAATGTTTTACACTAATGATTACATGCAAAATGATAATACTGTGTAAACAACACTGCAAAAAAATGAATGATTTCAAAATAAAAAATCAATTGCATTCATTCAATGTCAATAGACAAAGATAATCTGACAAAAAAAGAAATCAAACAAGCAAGCTCAAGCACGCTGCGCAATAAATGCAATGCATAAATGCTAAAGCGCAAAGCAATGCAGAGAAAACAAGTGCGTATTTGAAACATATGAAGAAACCGTGAAAGAAATCGCACGAAAATAATTCAAAGAAAACGCGCGACACAATTCCTGAAAATAAAAATTTTATTTAATCTTTGTACCCTTGATTAAATACACCTGATTGTTTAACACTCACATTTTATATTGTGCCTATTTACTTTCAGTATTTAATATCTTTCTATTTTAATTTACCTATTTAAAACATGGTTATCTGACTTTAGGGTGAAGGACAAAGGGCAATGTATCTTACCAACCACTTACCATAAACAACCTTGAAAACTCAACTTCTGATTTCAAAAAGTAAAAGTCGCTAAATGGGTCAGTTGTAAAATATCAGAATGTAAATAACAGGAAAGTGAATAAGTATTTAGTATATCCTGTAAATGATAAATGTCTCACTCCATCCACACAAGGACTCTTTCAATGATTTGTACTGTCAAAACTGTTATGAATATAAATTACATTTTGTAAACAACTCAAAAGTCAAATGTGTCAATTTACCTCTGAAAATTCAAAATATAAACTTCAGAGACAAGTTTGGTACCAGAATGAGAAAATTAAAACGTAGGCCTGTATGATTTACAAATGAAGAAAAAATTTCAAAGCGTAAACACTACAGCAAACAGCTGATCGACAAGCTGTTAATGTAAACAAGCACTGAAATACTCAATAAAATTCAAAAATACAAATAAATTACATGACTTACTTTAAATAAGCAATATCCAAATAAGAATAAACAAAATTATCAAATAATTTTACACTTTTATCAGTCTAGAAGTCTTGAAATTCACAAATCCACGTGTGGAAAACAAGTTCAGGTTCAAACCGGATATAGAGTTGCACTGAAAATGTTAAAGTCTGTATGGACGGAAAAGTAATTTCCGGAAAGTTTATAGTACAAATTTGGATGGACGGAAAACAAATTTCCGGAATGTTTATAGCACAAGTATATATGTATTCACAATAGTGCAGTCTCTTCTGAACAAAACTCACTCAGGTGTGACACAGGTGGGTTACCTTGTGTGTTGTCAGTCTGTAGCAAAAAAACACAACAGCTGTTGAAATGTTGATTGAAGGCTTTGATCCACCACTGACTTTATTATCTATGGGGGACTGGAGGTGGCTCCTGCAGTTGGTGCCATCATCATCATTGCCCCACGTTGGGCGCCAAATGTAACAGAAACATTTATATGCCTCTGCTGGGGATTGAACCCGGGGCCTCTGGCTTGCCAGTCCAGTGCTCTACCAATTGAGCTAAAGGGTTAACCCACTAGCCCAAGCTAGTAGGAAGCCATGTATCTGACACTACCACAAAATTACACCTGGTTTATTCATGCATCCGATCTAAAAATTCTAACGATCTGACAAAAATCCAAAAAATTTAAGAGAAAAAATTCAGATTCTTAACTGAATCATGAAAATTAATATGTAAAATGAATCCCTTATATTTTAACAATAAATATTTGACAAAATAGTTTTTAATTATATAACTTTGTCCTTTCTAAACAGATTTTATTTTATGAAATAAACTCTGCAATATGACTACTTTTCCCATTTTTCTAATTGTTTTCGTCCCTGAATGTTCTAATTTCAGAAAAATAAACAACTTATCATACAATAGGGACTTTTTTAGCAAAAAAAAAAAAAAAAAAAAAATCTGAACGGACAATATGCTGGGGGACGATTTTTCCGTCGATGGAATGAAATTCAATTTTAACCCGGACCCCAGGCCCTTAGAATGCGCCCCTTTTTCTGAGTATAGTATTTTGCTATCCCCCCACTTTTGGTCTCTTTTTTCCTGTCAGATTTTTTGGGGAAGTGTTGCCACTCCAACCCCCCCCCCTTCCGCACACACACACACACACACTTTTGAAACCGTTGTTACCTGAACCCGTTTTTCTGACAGAAAAACTGTGATGGGGGAGAGTCTATGCTACAACAACCAAACAATGTTTTATGAGAATTTTATGCATATTTTAGTAACTAAATTTATTTACCATTCATGTAGTTAGTAGTTACTCCTGTATTAAAGAAATTAAACATTATACGCAGTCAATATTTATTAATCAGAAGCCCCACCCCTTCCCAAGGATATAAAGAGTTACATTGATTTAATTTTAATTTGGTTTTAAAGTAAATGTGTATACCCTATCCCCCGATTCCGGGTAAAACTGTGACATTGAAGGTCAAAACGACTGACCGTTTCTTTTTTAAGTTTCGCAAACTCTGACCAAGATATAGTTATAAAGCATCATTAAAGGAATTCATTTCTCAAATTTGAGAAATCTAGGCACTGTCTTCCCTCAATTTTTATTACTATATAAAATTTGGTGTTATGAAGCAATGGGGAAAAAGTCATAACACCAAATTTTATATTTAAAAAAAAAATTGCGGGAAGACAGGTACATCATTTGCAAATAATGCGATATTATATTAGAGTTATAATTTTGTGAACATTTTAAGAATGTATTGTTTTAGAACCTATCTTAAAAAAAACAATTCAAACGCTTTCATGGGGAGAAAACGTTGGGTTTGAAAAGAAGAAATAATTGTTACATATTTAATTTAAAAGTGTCAGCATTTAACACAAAGTAACAGTGATAGAATTCAATTTGCCACCTAGGATTTGTTTTCCGTTTATTCAATATAAAACAGTTTGAGTACAGACGAAAAATGACTTTCTTTTATACATTGGCATGTCCAACTAATTAATTTCTATTGTGTTTTATTAAATAATTTACCTATGAATTTTGGTTAATAAGTCTTATATAATCAAATCTCGGCTGATTCTGTCACCTTAGATGAGGTACGAATCGGCCGAGATGTGCCGAGTGCAAATAATTATGTAATGGTATTTAGTCTTGTGATTTTGTCTTTTTGTTAAGAAAGCCTAAAGGTCTGATGTCAAGCACAGCCACAGGTGTTCATATTACATCAATTATGGCGGCGGTCACTTTTTATGTCATATGATAACTCAGATTACTTAATCTTCTTTATGCAGAAAATTCTCAGGCTTTCGGCTATTCACAAAAGGAAATTATACGAAATTTTTATTGGCTAAAATCCTGATATCAAAAGTCGCAGGGTCGGCGGCGGAAATGCATCCAAAGTCGATGACTTCCATCGACGATCTCAATCAATCAACTTTGTATATGTTAAATAAAAATATATTATTCTTTTATCTTTGGATATTTACAGCCACCGTAGAGGACAAGGCAAACCTTGTATTTGCATTCGAGTAGAGCAATCCAAATATGGAATAAAGAATTTCCCACTTAAATATAAAATTAAGTACCCCATATTCAAGTTAAAAAAAAAAAGACCCTGCACGTTAAGACCAGAAAAGCAAAGTGACAGCACCTTTCATTTGATCTTGATCTTAAAACTTCCAAAGACTGCGTAAACAAAAGAAATCGTTAAAACCTGCAAATAAAGTCGCTGTGAAATTAATTAATGAAATATTCAAGGTTATTTCACGTGATTTCCCAATCAAACCAAGTTCCATGGCAGTAGGACCCGGGTGGGATGGCGTGGGGGCTCCCATTAATTTTGCCAATATATATAGTACACGTGTGCTTGGAAAAAAATAAGCTGCTATATGGATGTGCCCCTCAATAATTTCGTTTGATCCCTCTTTATTTTTCTTTTGTCAATGAATTTTGGTAGTGCCCACATAAACTGATAATGTTGTGCCCCCCCCCCCCCCTTCAAACAGAAATTGCTTCCTACGAGACCGAGTTTAACTTCATTCCAAGTACAATCAAACATGTAATGTTTTGAATCCTTGTCTATTATGTAATTTTATTTTGACTCACTGATACAGACTGCACACGGCACCGGTTACTCCAACGGACCCTTTGCACCCAGTACTAAATATTTCATGGGAACTCACCTTCTATTCCTCAGTCAATTGGCGCCGAATTCTCCAACAGACTGGTTGTGTAAAGAATAAGGTAAGTTCTTTTTAATCTTGGAATTATAAATGTGAATGTTGTAAAAAGAAAAAAAAATATCCGTTTAAGTATCTCAACTACCACAATGTTTATATAAAATATCAATAATAACTATCATCTGGTGATTTCTAAACTGTTTTCAAAATATCTTAAATGTCTTGCACAAATGCCTGGTAAGATACACGTGCCTCATTTTTTTATGAGTAACATGTAAATTGTTAAACAGTTAAAATAGTAATACTTTAACAGCTGTTTAAATCTGTTAAATTAATGACAAATTATAGGGGAAATTTATAAATTACTGAGGAACGTGTCGTCGGACCTTAAATGAGCGATCCGGCCGGCTATATGTATATAAAATGAATGTAGCTTTTGCGAGCTGCGACATTACAATTATGTAAAAATTTAATGCATACTTTTAACTAACTTTCTTACAGAAGGTATCCACTAATAAAGAAGAAAAAATGCCTGGCCCATGCAATTGCCGAGAAAGTAAGTCTGAGATTTTCAGCTTATGAAAATGGAATGCATATATTCGTGTGTATTTTTTGAAATGTTTTGGTAGTAAATTATACATATATGAAATGTCAAAACTCTAAAAATAAATTTTAAAATGCTAAACTTTCATATTTTGGTAGTAATTGATAAAAATATCAAATAAAAGAATGTAAACTTTCTATATATGATCGATGTTCAAATTTCTTACTTTCTGTCAGTCACCATCCGTTTAATTCTATACAATTCTGTATCGCTTCACAGGATTTTTTCGAGAAACACTCTTCTGACATGAAAATTATTAGAGTTATCGCTCTTTGATTCACGGTTATTTTTCTATTTTTCTTAGGTGGAATGTGCCAGTGTGTGGAAAGTCAAACCTGTCCATCCAGTGTATGTAAATGTGGACCCGGATGTAAATGTGGGCCTGGGTGCAAGTGCACTGGATGTCAACTGAAATGCAGCTGTAGCAGTGAGTTGATTTTTTTTTATTAATTAAATTGATTTATTTAAACATGTGAATGAATTATATTTGCCCAACATGATTAATTTCTCAGCATCGTCGCAAACCACGGCCAAAATATACGATCCTCTCCCGTTCTGGAGAGGGCTATATGCGGACTCCGGACCGTGGCTTGAGACGTTTTCCTTGATACTTGAGGTATTCTATGCATAAATATCAAAACAATTATCTTTATCTTTCAAAGAATCAAATTAAGAAAAATGTTTTATAAAAATTTTCCATAAATCAAAGTAAAATAAGCTTAACCAAGAGATTTTTTGCAACATTAGCTAAAAAAAAAGAAAAAAAAAGATATGACTCAGTTAATTTAACATAGAAAAGTCATTTTACAAAAACGTGATCATCATGTGATCGACTTCAACTCGAAAACTGTTTTTGGTTTCGTATTAGCTGTAGGGCTGTGTATTGAGCAAAATATTTCGATACGATACGATACGATATTTTATAAAGCGATATGCAATATATTGGATTATTTATTAAGTCTTTCAAAAGTGTCTTGTAAATGACATTTAATGCATAAATTTGATAAAAACTGGGTGAGTCTAACATAACATGTTAAAATATAGTTGTCTATGTATTTTGTAATAGTTATCTATAAGATGTGCTATCTCCTTAATGTTTATTTCATTATTGACCAGTTTTAATTCAAGACAGTTAAAAATAATCTTTGCATGGTAACTGAAATTCCCAACATTTTTACAGAATTATAAGGAAAACTGCCCTGTCCGATACGTATTGGAAGTTATTTTTTCGATACGATACATTCCTGAATATCGATACGTATTGAATATTCGATATATTGACACAGCCCTAATTAGCTGCAATATTGTAGCCATCTCAGATTTTTTAAAGCTCTACTGCATGGTCAGAGACCAGAGGCCTGTTTAACAGCACGAACGTTCGCGAGTGCTCGCCAACATTTCTGTTGAATTTAGGAATTTAGGCGAGCGTTGTGAACAGAGTGAACGTTCGCTCTGTTGAACAGGCCTCTGAAGAGCTTATGCGATAGTAAAGTGTTCGCCCGTCTGTCTGTCTAGCTGTCTGTCCGTCTGTAGTTTTTTTTAAATGCTACTGTACCCCTTCTACAATTTTGGTTTGGTTAAATTATCGTAGAAGACAATGATAATAAACAGTTTGCCAATACATTTCCTCTGAAACGGTAAACGAGTGCGATTCTGGGGAGGGGGGGGGACTTCATGTAATTCGGAGTTATGTACCTTCTGTTATTATTATACTATGGGTTGAAAAATTTTATTACTGAAACAAGTGCCTGTGCCTCTCCTGAAAACGTCAGATAAAAAAAACCCAGAAGGCTACATTATTGCAGCTAATTAGGTATATATACTACTTGGCCATAATCATATGAACTAAGCATAATATAATCATGTTTAAAAACAAACTATTTCAATGCAAATCTTCATGTCAATTCGCTCATTCACAAATTTCAAGATTGTTTCACTTGCATGCATGAGTTTCAACTTAATGCATGGGATATTAAAAAGAAGTTTTATTTTCCCATATGAAAAGAAAAACCTCGCCTTGTGAAGGAATATACATGGTACCCACTCGGCACACCTCGGATTCGTACTTCATCTAACGAGGTTTGATGAAGGCGACGGAATCATCCGAGGTTAGCCGAATGGCATGGTTCCTGTATATGTCGCAGAAAATAAATTAACTTGGTTCCTGTATCTGTCGCAGGAAATAAATTAACTTCCCGTATTTTTTGTTACAAACCCTCCAGATCTGACATCTAACTGAAACTTACCTTAGTTAAAGTGACCACGGAATGATATGATTAATCCTAGTTGCAAGTCAGATTATTAGGACCATTACTTTTTCGAGTATTACATAATGAATTAGACTAAAATTTTTGTCTCTCAAGGATTTAACTTAAATCATGGAAATCCTTTTTTTTTGTGTGTGAAAAAATGTCAAACATCACATTTTAGCGGTCTATACTCTATATCAGAAAACGAATAATACTAAGTATAGGTCAATTTCAGGTTTATTTGAATAAGAATGAATCTCGTTTAAGTATTAAGTTCCATTACACTTACCTTATTACCGCGGGTATATCGCTATTATTGTAAAATGTCATATTATAGTAACAGATCTTAGATCATCCTTGTTTTCTCAGTGAACTGCTATGTCCTTTAGAAAATTTTAATGTTCATTTGGCTATTTGAAGCAACTTTTTGTATTTATATACCCTGCCGGAATTGGTTCTTTATCGTAGAATGATAGAGATGCCCATGGGCAAGTATCATTTCAAAATTAAAATATATAGAAATTAATATTTAGCAAAATAGCATTTGGTCTAGAGATCTATAAAAATATACTTTATAAATTTTGATGTATTAAAATGCATATAGGTCATCATGCAAATTTTAGAGACTTTTCAAGGGGAAATAACTGTTATAATTAACACTGAATGCTAATAAAAAGAATTCTTTTAGATCCTGTTTGTTCTTGTTATCCCTTCGTAACGAAGTTGGAGGAGATATAGTAATAATCTTGTATGTGTGTGGTTGAGTGAGTGCATGCGTAACGGAAGTTACGCAAGTAATAATTTATACCGGGGTCGATGTGCTCTTTTGCGAGGCCAGAGGGGATGCTCCGCTTTGCGAGGCCATTGTTATTCAATCTCATTTCAAAAGCATTATGTTAGCTGAATATATACCAAAATTAGCAAATATCCCTCTATCATTCACTGAATACCTTAATATACGTTATAATAAAAAAAATGTACAGAATTTTTTTTCTTTTTTTGGCAGGTAATTGCGCATGTGGAAAAGGCTGCACCAGTCCTGAATCTTGCAAATGCGCAAATGACTGTAGCTGCAAAAATTGACGAATTATATACATGTAGTCCTGTGGCCGTCCGGAATATCTCATCTTTCACAACCAAAGAACAAAATCATTTAAATAGATTTTCCAGTTAGATAACAAAATAAAGTGATTTTCCAATTACATCTGTCATGTTATTTATATGTACTAGTACATGTATATGTGATTTTTCTCGAAATTAACGTGTATTTTTTTTTTCTTCAAATTCAGATTTGAAATGAGATATGCAATTGACAAATGACAGGTATCTAGTATTTTATGAAATTAATGTACATTTTGCATAATAAAAGGCATTACCACTGGTTATGCAGGTCCAGAAATGTCAAGAATTTACCAGATGAATTTATTTTGTATTTACTGCCAGGCCCGTAGGAAGCAATTTCAGTTTGGGGGGGACACAGCCATACATTTTCAGTTGAGGGGGCACTATCAAACATCAAAAATTTCTTGACAAGCAATAAAAAAAAAGTCATCAGACGTATTTATTGAGGGGGCACAGGCATATAGTAGCCATTTTTTTTTTATAGTAATCTATATATCGGCAAAATTATTGGGGGGGGCACGACCCCCCTAGCCCCCCCCCGGTTCCTACGGCCATGACTGCCACCTGATATTTTCAAAAGAACGATGGCGCTTTTGATTGACATTCGGCAGGAATCGGGGCGCACTTGAAAAATGAAAACTTTATTGAACTGTAAAATTAAATTTTAGCATTCATTTGATGTATTATGTTCCTATGAAACAGGAAAGAATATATTTTTCCAATAGCGTGTTTTAATTTCTTTAAAAGTAACTTGAAACAAGGCTAGATGAGTCATTTGGTACAAAATGTTTCATTTTGTAATGTGTGTGGAGGACCGTTAAGGTCCTCCTTACACCGCCCAGCTTATGTTTTCATATTGCTGAGCATTACTATTAACACGCATATCAACCTTTTAAAAACTGTCCAAGAATAGAAATATAATTTATACTGATTTTTGAAAATTTTAAATTAAGTTTTGATTTTTTCCCCACCGAGTTTTGATAAATAGCGCACAATTTTTTTCCTTAAAATATATTCTTAAGCTCAAAAAACAACAAATACTTAATTTTATCAGTCAATATACATGTATTTTTTAAGGAAATTACTAAAAGTTATAAGAAAATAAATATAATTCATTTACTCTAAAATACACGGAGAAAAAAAAATTGAGGAAGACTCCCGATAGTATATTAAGAAACATTAATGAATTATTTAAATTACAACAAAAAAAAAAAAAATGAAAATCAAACATATTGATTTAGAGAAATTATTTTCAAAATCTGTGGTATCAAAGTTCCTTTTTAGAGTTATCATTCCTGTTACCCAGGACTTAAAACTTTGATAGGTCTCCGCATACGTTATTTTCAAGATTTTTGATGAAGTTTCTTTATCATTTGTCATTAAATAAATACTTTTTTATCTGCCAAAAAGGAAGATTTCATGCACGGAACAAATCAAAGGGCAAGACATTCAAATGTTTTAATTCCTGTAATAGTGAAATCAAACACAGCCTTAGATTACTCAAGATCTGTGCAAGCGATTTTTTTCCAGCCGTATTTCTTTACCAATGATAAAAAGAGCAAGAGCCACTTAGGCCCTTTTTTGGCCCTGAGAATTTCTGAAAAATCAAAACTGCTCAGTTTTGGTTGAAAATGCAGTACTTATAACTTGGACCCTTGGTGACCGTGTATCTATTGAACATGACGTAATTTTCTCTCTAGTCAATGCATTATGACGTCATAAAAGCGTCATTTTCCCCCTTCCCTGTAAATTCCCTTAAAAATGGCCAAAAGTTGAGGAATTTTTTCAATATTTCATATAGGGCACAACCTCTAATCCAAATATGCAATTAGATAAGGAAATAATTGTTTCTGAAGATCACAAAACATGTTTTAATTTTTGGATCGTGAGCTGTGCTCATATTTTAATTCTTTGCTGAAGGTGGTCAAATACGCATGTTTTCTGCAAAATTCAAGAACATTGCATTTTCTCAAAACCTGTTTTCCAATACCTGGATTCTCAAAAAGAAATTTTGTTACAGGAAATGAAAGCACTAAGTCTCTACTTTATTTTGATATATGAAGTAGGACAGAGGGTAATAGTCAATTAATTGATATAATGACAGGGCCATTTTATGTATAAAGTGCACCTAGCTCTTTAATTGTCTATTCATATTTGAATATGCCAAAAATTTATTCATGTTTGATAATCTTGATTTATCTGCAACAGTCTTTTTTAATACATGTGAGAAGTTAATATATATTCATATAAGAACACGTTATTATTACGCAAAACCTGTGATTCAGTTTCAATAATCAATCTTGTGATTTATATGCAACATCTAATTAAGGAATGTTTTTAAGTTTGTGTGAGTTATTGGTGTGTAAATCACACAGACTTGTCATGTAGGCATATTTCATGAAGCGCTAAAGTGACGTCACAATGAGGCTTCAGAGACGTAAATAAAAATGTAACAATATATAGGGCAGCAAGAAATTCAAATATTGAGTATATTATTGGTGCTTTTAAATTTGTAAAATGTAAATATAAGGCATGTTTTTACGTTTAGTGTGAATTATTGGTGTGTAAATCACACAGACTTGCACGTAGGTATATTTTTCATGAAGCGCCAGCGCACTTCATGAAATATGCCTACATGACAAGTCTGTGTGATTTATAAACCAATAACTTGCACAAAACTTAAAAACATTCCTTAATTGAATGCCGTAGCTTTCCTCACACTTTATAAGCAAAATACATGTTGAATGTAAATATTTATTTATATTCGAAAAGTTATTATTCATATTCGAACGTCGGTTTTTTGCAAAAAAAAAAAAAAAAAAAAAAAAAAAAAAAAAAAAAACTTTTGTTAAATATTCGATAATCCCGTGATTTATTTTCAATAACCTTGTAATTAATATGCAAAATTGTGAAGTGAATCATATTACTCGGAGCTAGGGCTTTATTGTATAAAAATATGAACAAGATTTCGCAAAACAGACAATTAATAATAATAGATAATCGCTTAAATCACAGTATTATCAAATATGAATCATGAGTTTTCAATGCATATGACAAGTCTAAGAATTTAGAACACGTTTTTTTTTTAAATATATGTTATATAAATCAAATGATTAATGACTATAAATCGTAGGTTTTTTTTGCATTATTATTTTTTTGATTATTACTAATAATCTTTCGACCTCGAATGTCAATCAAAGTTTACGAATATCAAGATCTAGTCGTCGAACACGAATAACACTTTTTTAAATGTATCAAGATTTTATACATATAATGCAAAGTTTATTTTACGTCAATACCTTGTATGAAAGGGATAAAAAATTTATTTCAAAAAGGTAATTAATTAAATTTGGGAGTGTATCCATATATGGCCATCAAAACCGATTTGACTGAATTAATTTTAAAGTTTCAAACTTAAGATTTAAGGTCAAGATCTAGTAAATGAAAGGTGCCTACAGATTTCTCAAATTTGAGAAATAAATTCCTTAATGATGCTTTATAACTTTAGCTTGGTCAAATAAGGTGTTTCGGGGCATAATTTGTAGGTAAACAAGACGAAAAATTATATTTTAAACTGTCATTTTCAATAAAAAATTAAGAAAACCAGTCATAAATACGGGAGTTTTTTTTTTCCATATCAGACAAAGGAAATGTATCAAGATTTGCCTACAGTCCATCAGAAAACGGTAATTTGTATGTTCTTGGCCTCTTCTTTAAAATAATTTTAAATTGAATATAGGTATCGGGATTACTTTTCACATGATTTCAAATTGAATTCCATGAAAATACTTTATTTTCTACATAATTATATTAGAGCCGTAAAGTACGGGAAAAAGAAAGTTGAAATTGATTATGACGTCATAATGGATCTAGCACCAAACAGTTAGTCTAAAGTCATTTACTAGATCCTGACCATATGACAAATTGATTTATTATTAACTTCAGCATTTCCATCCTAACCATTCCCTATTTAAGAAGAAAAAATCTACAATTCCCTGTATATGGATTTATGTCTCACAAACTGATTCAGTACTCTAGGGCATATCTTTTGATTACGATCAATTTTTAAAGCAAGACAGTCTACTGACAAATAAATTGATGTTGCAAGGTTTTTATAACAAAGTCGTTTAAAGTCAAAATAATTATTATAAATTCTTTTGTCGTTATAATTATATTATTTGGAAATACAAAAAAATGTTTTCGTCGTATTTTGACTGAAATATGCATGTTTCATACAAGTTGGTAGTCTTTAAATTGTTTTACAGACAATTTTGACTCACTAAGGAATATTCTGTTTACCTGATCAATTAAAAGGATTACTGACGGATTTGTGTTCAATGGGGGATGCTTACAACTCCTGGACACCTGATCGCACCTGGTGTTTTCAGGGGTCCATGTTTTTGTTCCATTCACAATTCGTATTATTTGCAAGCAATGTTTAATATTTGATTTAACACTGTTCGTTACTGTCACTTTATTCATTTATGTAGGATTTGATAGAGCTTAAGTTTTGATTTCACTCCTTGAACTTTATATTAAGGACTTAGTTCTTCAATTTTAAAAAACTCGCACCACACAACTATATACAAAGGACAAACTTTAAGCTGAAAAGCTCAACATGCAGAGCCCTGTTTCATATGAATTAAAACCCGATCATTTATATGAAACGCCCCAAAGTTCTCATGATCGAAGAATCATGAAACACCCTAGTCATACGTCAAATATATAATTAAAGTATATTGATCTGAGATATTATATCACCCAATTATATACTGCTGATTTTGAGCTTCAGATTATTGGTTATAAGCATCTTTCAGATGTACTGTAATTGAAAATTGACGTAACATGAAAATCTAATTCTGTTTATTATCCTAAATGGTTGGTCATACACTGATAAAACGTCCGTTTTCTGTGAACATTATTTTTCCATCAAAATGCTAAACTACCTAAAGATTAAGCCTAATAATAGTAAAACATAAGTTGACTACCTCAAGAAACATAAATCTATAACATCAGATTTTAATATTATTAAAGGATGTCACAGTGTCCGGTTTTACGTT